AAGTATAGTTGTAGTCTTCCTGTGGAGTCAAGTTTCCTGTTGTGGTCTACCTCGTAGGCTGACATTTAGCCTAGTCCTTTATCCAGATCACTCCCAGATTATGTATCAGCAAAGTTCCTCCTACCCATTTTCCTTCTTTTTGATAGGTAGGCTGATTGGCTGCTTGGCACGCAACTGAACAATGGAGCTCTGTCTTCCAGCTCCCCACCCTCTTTTTTCTGACAAATGTTTGGGGCCCATGTGGAATTTAGAAGCTTATTAGAAAAGTGGGGAGATGAAGGCAAAAGTTCCAGTTAACCAAGGTTTTAATATTAAACAAACCTAATCTGGAAGAGCAGAAATCCTTTGCAGGTGCCAAAAGGATGGTTAAGAAATAACCTACGGGTGCTGCGTTGCTGATCCCAGATTTAAAGCATTTTATTGGTGGACTATATTTTGCTGAGTTAAGATCATGTAATCAGAAGTCATTTCAGTATCACAGTTTATCTGATACACCCTTATTTTCATGGACTAGAGAATGAAATCAACTTGTCTATGAAATAGCATATTTGTACAAAAAGATGGGCTGAATCCAATGGTTTGTTTTCACCTACAGAACTGAGTGAAATGAGATCATTTTCGCTCCTCCTTGTGCCTCTAGTCTCCAGACAGATTTTGAGGATTCAAATGGAACTGCGGGGAATTGTGTTGCGTGAACAAAAAGTAACATGTGTGAGACTGGATTCCATGTGTTTTCTCTCATCACCTAATACAGCAGTTGTGTTTGTTGAGTTCAAATGCTTCTATAAAAGGCTGTATATAATTTTGTGTATTTCCAAGATTGCTTTTTTTTCCTGAGTGCTGAACAATTAATTCCACTGTTCCTTTAAATCAAGATCATATGCCAGGGTAATTCACTCCTTCCTCAGGATATTGCAACTAGTTGACTTGCTCATCTTTCCATAGCAACTCCAACTGGGAAGGACGCAATAGCTGCCCATTGAAACTCAACTCAGCTGACAAAAATTAACCTCCCAAATATCAAAGCATCTTTTGAATTACTTATGAAGCTAGGAAACTTTTCATACAGAATGTGAGCCAGGATTAGATTGATACCCTGCCTTTCCCCCAGGAGTTCAAGACAGTTACATGGGAGTCTCCCCAAAAACACCTCTGTGAGCTAGGTAGGGCTGAGAAAGAGAGGCTGACTTAAATCTGAATCTTTACAGCTCTAGTCCAACATCTTAATCAGTATTCTACACTGGTTCTTTAACTCCAGTTAATGAAGTTAGTCTAATGAAGTTATAACATTCGGCTATAGGCTGGACTCACACACTATGCTGTGCCAAAATCGTGATATGTCAGAGAGCCTTTGACTTGGTATTGTCACCTGTGGGTGGTATCATTATTTTATTGACATAATTGTTTTAACTGTTCACATTTAGTTAATTGTTTTGGTTTTATATATGAACTGCTGGGTTTTGTTCTGGGATACAGTGGTATAGAAATATTGTAAATAAATATAGAAATAAGCATGTGGTTGGCCGTTTGTAATTTAGTATGTTACGCTGTTCCACACACACACACACACACACACACACACACACTCCCCACCCCATATACCCACCCCAAACAAATCTTGCCTTCCACATCTAGTTCTTTGGTAAAAATGTTTCATTACCTTTGTTAGTGGGAGCTTTGAAAAATACTGTAAATTGTCTCCTAAATATATGAAAAAATCTTGTGGCAGGTTTTGAGAGTGATAGGAACCACAGTATAAATTTACTCCAAAATTATTATATATTTATACATACATACATACATATGTACATACACATGAAATCCCCTCTCACCCCTCTGGGTGATATGTGTCTTCTGCAATCTCCGGTCCTCCACCAGAGGCCTGGGAGTTTGAGGGTTCTGAGCAGTATCGTAGCTGTTCCCAGCACTGCACTCTTCTGGACAGAGAGCTCTGATGTTGTTCCTGGGATCTATTGGAGCCATTCTCCCAGCTTAGGAATCATGCCCCAAGTGCTCCTACCACCACTGGGACCACTTTGGCCTTTACTTTTCACATCCTCTCTAGTTCCTCCTTCAGGCCTTGGTGCTTT